AATTTATCTCTTCCGATTATGACATCCCCTCACACATGTCAACATTAATGAAGCAAAAGATCTTTGATGAAGTGAAGGCAATTGTCATTATCGTATTCATCCCAAATATTGTACGAGACTTAAGCTCAACATCACCCGACCAAAGAAGTCATTTTTGGGTATGCGATTATTATAAGGTTTGGTATTTTGCTTGAAAATATGTTGGTTTTCCAAGTGAAGAGGAGTTGTCTTGAAAAATTCCCACAATACATCTAAAAGATTATAGATGTGTTTCATATTGAGTGAGGCATTCTCAAATATACTTTGATGGGAGGTGGTGTCTTTGTCATTAGAATAGACATTTTCTAATTACTTAGTTTGTGATGCAACAAGTAAAAGGTTTGTATTTTGCAAAGTTGCATTTGGCTCAAATAAACACTACATGAGTGCATGATCCTTTTTCCTGCATCTTTTTTGTGTGTTTTGCCTTGTATCAAAAGGTGGTCCAATTAGATTTTTTTATGAGATCTTTATTTTGAAGGTTGTATATTTATCTCATATGTAGATGATTTTCTGCTATTTTGTGTTTATTTTCTAGTATATCCTCCACCATGAGAAACAAAGTGCAAAGCTCTCTCGACAATAATTCATTCTTAAGATTATGTGAAGCTCTCTCAACAATAATGACCTTTGATGGATGAGATTTGTTGGTTAGAACATAACTCCAATAATTTCATTATGAGAAAAGATCTTCAACAATGAGATTATATAGGATGACATGTGCATGTGTAATTTTATCATGTGAAATAAATGACATGTTTAGGAAGAAGAAAAATTTAAAAAGATTAAATTAGAAAATGATTTACGGTCAATTATTTAATAATGTAATTAAACTTTGTGTTATTCAACTATACTTTTTTAACTAATATTTTTGGAGGATTTAGCATTTCTCTTGAAATATAGTGCTTTAACATAATCAAATCAAAATGAAATAAATGATGAATTGAATCATACTAGACTTCAATGGGAGTTATTACTCATTTTTGTACTTATTATTTTATTTTCAAATTATTTCTTTAAGTAATAAAAGAAATGAGAATAATGTATAACTAATAAACATCAGACCCCCTTTCTCTCTCTCTCTCTCTCTCTCTCTCTCTATATATATATATATATATATATATATGTGTGTGTGTGTGTGTGTGTATATATATATATATATATATATATATGAGGGGGCTTATAAAAACACTAGTGTAACTTTTATTAAGTATTACATTACTCAATAACTTTATATTAAATGTGAATTTTGTAAATTCAACCGTTAGATTGAAAGTTATTTACTCTTAGATCATATATACAAAATTTTATATTAATCTAAGATGATTTGATACTTCATTTTTATAAAACAAAATTGACATAATATATTTATTTCAAAATATACTAAAATATGAACACTTTGATTACCTTTAAGTTGTTGTTCAATTTTAACAAAATTTGATATACACATATAAAGTGATATGAACTTTCAATCTAACGATTGAATTTACAAAGTTCATAATTAATATAAAGTTATTTAGCGGTGTAATACTTAGTAAAAGTTACACCGGTATTATTATAACTTTCCTATATATATATATATATATATATATATATATATATATCAAAATTCATGAATTATGAATATCAATCATTTCTGACAATTATTAATCAAAACCAAACCAAACACAATAAAAAATTAAAGCATAAATAGAATAAAAATGGGTGATGACACCCTAATCACAAAGGGGATCATGAGTCTAAGGAGGATTCAACATAGGATAAAATTCTTTGATGAGAATCGTGTTCTTGATCAAGAACACATAAAAGCTCACAAGGTTTTAAGAAATCTCAAATTCCAATTTGCCAAAGGTGTTCCACAAGCTTGGGAATGACCTATATATGCTTTGTCAATAAAAATAGTACTAAGCACTCTAAAAGACTCAAGAAAAGTCAAACACAATTAGTGTGCAAAATAGATTAAAATATAACTAATTATGAATGCAAAATCATTGAGCAAATTTGAATTTGCTAAGTGAAATAAAAAATTGTTGAGCAAATTTAAAACCATTTAGCAAACATGCCAATAAACGAAATTTAGAATTTGAACAACTCAAAAGTTGATTAGCAAAGTTGTCAATTGTCGAGTGATCATGGACATGAAAACAAACCTATGAAATTAATTTGGTTTGACCTAAAAGTTGATGAGTGATTCTAAAATTGCTAAGTAAAATTTAGGACAAATTGACTGCGGAACCTCTTGAAGAATGATTGGCGTTTTATTCAAGCTCCATCTTCCATGTCCCTTCTTCTCTTGAGGCTCTTCATGATGGAGGAGGCCCATGGGCTAAGGGCCCAACTACTAGAGCAATGGCAAGAAGGATGCATGAAGAGTGGGCCCAAGCCCAAGGAAAGCCCACCACTTTATTTTGTTGGGCCTTGAATCAAGCCCAATTAGATTAGGGCTAGTATAGGAGTAGGCCTTAGTGCCATGTATTTCTTTTGGGCCTTGTATTTTCGGCCTAGTAGCATAGGAGTTTCATTTGAAGGTCATTTGAATTTAGGTTAATTAGAGTTACATGTGGAATTACATTAGCATTTAATTAGTAGCACATTTGGTGTGCATTTCGGCCATGTGCAACACATGCACATGGTGTGATCCGAAATGCAACTCAAATGGCTTCCTAATTACATGCCAAATGTGTGCACATGGGAGGGTGACCGGTTGGCACCAAAATTTGAATTTTAGAATTCAAATTTTGGCGCCTAGAGTTAAGATAACCATACCATGGTTTTACTTAACTCTAGGTAAACCCAACTTAAACCCTTAACCTAATTTAGCCTATAAA